TCGCAATTGGATTACGTCAACAACGGTACAATCACTACAGTGGCGAGTTGAGCGAAGTACGCGTGACAGAAAAAAACAATAAACAGATATAATACTCGTTATAATAACCACTCTCCCTCCACCGAAGTTACTTCGGTCACCTTCATCTCCAGGCTAGCCAATTTCACCTTATAAAACCAATCAGAGAAAAGTATCACTGGCTGTCTTCGAATTCGTAAGAAACTTTGTAGGCATTGCTGCCGGCTATAGTACGGCTCAACCGTCTGAACAAGTGCAATTGAAAGTAGAATACAGAAAGAGGCATGAAATACTGGAATCGTCTCAGCTAGTATAAATTATATTGTCATGAGGTTAGGACGCTCGCGCATGGGGACAGCAGTGGGTTCATCAAAATGCGGCTTTCGCTCTGAAGACAATCACCACGACCAGGAGCCTGGGAGGGTCTGAAGAAGAGTTGCCGAAAAGCATGTTTTGCCTGACAAATTGACTTTTCATTTTTTTGTTAAATGTAGACGAACTGCCTTTTCACAGTGACTTCATTCACATTTATAAAGGATCACTGCATATGAAGAGAGCTTCGTCGTCATACGACAATTAGGTAACTGCAACAACAATGTAGTTCTGTTGAAAATAGGGACAAAGCACGATCTGTTAAGAATCACTACCACCTTGTACCCTCCAAGTCGGAATTAGGTGACGTGAATGCAGCCTGTTGCACGTCGCCGGCTGCTGTCAGACTACGTGCTCACCAAGGGGCGAGACTACCCAGACATAAACAACAAATGAGGTGCGTGGTGTCTAATTTTGGACGAATCATCGCCTAATTGGCTCAATGATAAGACTCCACGTCCAAATAAGAAAGCGTCAGGGAAAGGTAGTGGCGGGAAGACAAACACCGCAGTATTGGACGTTACTGAATGCAGGACTTACATTCACAGAGCGAACGCCAACGTTCGACATAGTCGGTTTCTTGAGGAGGTAAATAATTTGAGCACATAGAATCTAATAAAAGACCTTATCTATATTGCTGTGAAGGGAACTATTAATCTGTGTTTGGAAAACGATTTCATAAAATCAAGCCCCCTTCTTCGCAAAGAGCCTGTACCGCAAGGCGCGCACAGTTAAGAACGCTATCACAAACATCTAGCATTGTGCTAGTTTCGACACTAATTGCAGCATGGGCTGCAGGTGAAAAAAAATGAGTGACTAGGATAGCATAATAGATGCCAGGATACGCTGGCCATGGTGGGATGAAGAGCTTTTCCACAGCTAGTAAGGAAATCTGGTGATTTAAATTCATATTTAATGATTCACCTAGCACAGTTCTTGCGACACAGGATCAGGAAACTCAAATACTTGATCAATCGCCTATTCTCAGATACTACATTGGGTTACTTGGACACTTGTGTGCAAGATAACTAATGCTTGTTTCATTACACGTGCAACAAATTATGCGGCAATGTTGGTCATCGGTGGCAGTGAGCCTAATTGTGTTTGTAGATAATACGAAGACCATGGTGGAGAAGAGGCGGGGACATAGTTACTTAAAAACAAAACATTACTGAGGCAGCACATCTATTATATACAGGACTGCAGACTACGAGTGCTGCGCGTATGTTTTGAATTGGAACTTAAGTCTTACTCTGTGAAAAGATATGTCATATAATCTGGCTGAAAGGGCAAGCTGGAGAGCATGAGTACGAAACAGACGATCACTCGTTTGTATACATTAAAACGGACAGCGTTAAGGTCCAAATACTTTTAAAATGATGCTAGCTTCTTAAGATATGTAAGTTAAGATTGCAAAACCGCGGAACACACCATCAAAACCTGGATGGCCATCAAATTGGTAGAACACGTCACCATGACGCTGCCGAGTGACAGAAGGTGCTGGCTCATCTACGCTGCCATACAAGTCGTATCTACGACGTTTCTCGGCGTTTGTGAGCGTTGAAAACGCAGATCCTATCTTCTTGAAAGCCTCCGTGGCCCCAGGTGCGCGGTTTTTGTCCGGATGAAATTTCCTTGCCAAACTTCAAAAATAAACAAGGTGAAAATGTTTTACCCTTTATATGCCCGCTTAATTTCATCTTCACTTGCGTCTTTTGATACACCAAGCACCTTATATAAATCTTTGCATGAAAGAACCGATCTAACGGCTTCGACATTTGCTTTGCTGAAATTTCGCTCCTGTGAGTTTTCACGGGCGCTTGATGATGGGGACTCTCTAGATCTGCTTGGAGACCGCTGACGTGGAGGTGTGCTATCGCCAGACTGACGGCTTGTAAACGCTAAAGACAATAAATCAACTTATGCATTACATGGAAGTGTGACGGATGGGTCAAGTCTAACAGCTTTGCGGAGAAACTTTTTGGCCGCCTCCGCGTTACCTTCCCGTATGTGCTTTTCAGCCAAGCGTATGCACTTGAGTGCTTCGTCGCGATTTGCAAACATAATAGTGGGAGCTTAAGCTCTGGTATCAATAACTAATGATTGGACCCAGAAACCGAAACCACACCTACGTTACTTAAAATGTGCGGAGTTGCTAAGGCATATTTAAACGCATTGAACAAAATGAATATATAATTGGGCACCATGTAATTGTTGACATGCATTTACCTCCAACCCATAAGCTTCAAATCTCT